TTTTTTTTAAATTTGGCATAGATTGGTGGTAAAGTGGTTGCATGAAAAGAGTAAAAATACCTCAAGTTTAATACATTAGGTTGTCTTCTTTTAAAAAAAATATATACATGTGAAGGGTTATTCAGGGATTCCTGACAGATATCAGTGTTACAATGTACCTTTCGTTGATTTTGAAAAAAAAAAAGAGTTTGGGAAATAGCAAAGTGCTACTTGTACTTATTGCCCTATAACTTTCCAAAAAAAAGCTAAGAACATGTTAACATTGGGTATTTCAAAACACAGGACAAAATTTTGAAACTATTTAGCATGGGTGTTTTTTGGAGGTTATAGATGTGTAACAGATTTTGGGAGTCAAAGTTAGAAAAAGTGTGTTTTTAAATATTTTTCATCATATTTTATAATTCTTTTTATAGTAAATTATATGATATGATGTAAATAATGGTATCTTTAGAAAGACCATTTAATGGCGAGACAAACGGTATATAATATGTGTGGGTACAGTAAATGAGTAAGAGGAAAATTACAGCTAAACACAAACACCGCAGAAATGTAAAAACAGCCCTGGTCCTTAACGGTAAGAAAATTGAAAAACGGTCTGGTCACTAAGGGCTTAAGTATGGCTGTCCTAACAGTGCAAGGATAAACCAGAAGATACCATAAAAATAGATATTTATATGCAATCCAAAATAATCTATCTACACAATAGTCTACCCTGTGATGCAGGATTAATCGTATTTATGGTAAGAGGAGCTTAATTTTAAGGGGTAGAGTTATTGCCTTCAAAATGCTGTGGACTGCAATTCCTATAATTCTTAGCTTAACATTGCCAATGTTCTAAATGCATTTTCAATTAAAGTACTAATGACATACGTGATTTAGTTTCCTTTTTTACAAGTTTTATTGATCTGGACTCTGTTTTGAAAGAACTACTCTGAAGTGCTTCCAAACGGCACAACACTCTCAATTGTGTGTATAATTCCAATACTCAGAGATCAACAGGAAAAGTCATTACCAACATGTACTAGCTAATTGCCATTTACCAGACCCTTATGTTGTTCAGCAGCAAAGCATAACAAGGTGGATAAAATATATGGGCAGAGGAAATAATAGTTTAATAACATAGCGGGTTTAATTATGATAGCAAACATTACAGACTCATCCTCTTCTCTAGGGGCTAAGATGTTAAATAAATAATTATATGACAGCGTCTAACTGGTCACTGAATGTCTGCTGTTTAATCACTATTTGTACAACTCACTGTCCACGAAAAAACAAATTATGATCACATAACCGCTTTATGTTAACAACATTCAATATGCTATATACTATCTGCTCTATGTATGGTTGCAAGATGTTACGTTTTCTACTATGCAGAGCCCTTTTTAATGCTGATTTTCAGAAAGTAAACTATTACTATTCTCTATATACCATTCAGGTTCTGCAGAAGATAATTCAGTTAAAAGGATACTTGCAATCCCTCCCCTTTTAACCCAACAAAGACTTTCCAATGCAGCTCAATGAGAAGTCTTTGTAAGGCAGGTGCTCTAGGCAATTGCTTCCTCTTATCTTTAGCTACACTGAGCAAAACTACCAGGAAGTAAAAAAAGACCAGTTGTTTGCTTGAATGTTGGGGGTTGGGGGGTGGAAGGTGGGGAGGGGAGAGTACAGCAAGGTGCATTTATGAAAGTGTTAATTGCTGTTGAAATTTGCACTTTTTGTAAAATGAATAAAAGAGGACACACACTTTAGCTTGCTGCAATGCTTTATGTGTAAAGTGTATCTTTAACTAATCTAGATCTTTAAGCTTTTTTATGATTAGCTAACTGATTTTTTTTTTCTTTCACCATCTGAATTCTTCATAATTTAGGGCAATATGTATAATATGCTGTCCATCAGAATATGCAAGGGCTAAATGTCTGGGTAAACGTGCTAGATATGGCAATTCTAGTTCTAAAAAACATCAAACAGAACCCTGGTTTAAGTGTGTACCTTACTACAAAGTAATACAATTATATGCAGTTGTGCTAAAAAATTTGCATACCCTTGGAGAATTGGTAATATATGTACCATTTTTAAAGAAAACATAAGTGAGCCGGCAAAACACATTTCTTTATTTCTTATGGGATTCAAATTTAACTGCAGGTTATAACAGAATGTCTCAGCCATAAAACAAAACATGGCAACAAAGAAAAAAATTATATGACCCCTCTTCTGAAGTCTGCATACCCTTAGTTCTTAATACTGTGTATTGGCAAAACACCTCCAGGTCATGCAAAGTCTTTGGTCGTTTTGCATAAACCGCACGTTTGAAATCTCCCCAGAGTGTTTCAATGATATTAAGGTCAGGACACTGTGATGGCCACTCCAGTACCTTCATCTTTTTCTGGAAAATCCAAGAGCATCCCATGCGCAGCCTTCGTGCAGAAGAATGCAAATTATCTGCCAGTATTCACTGATAACATGCTGCATTCATCTTACCATCAATTTTCACAAGATTCCCTGTGCCTTTAGAGGTCACCCCCCGCCCAAAACATCAGTGAGCCACAGTAGGGATGTAATCTTTTCACTATTTGCCTTGTTGCACGTCTCCAAACATAGCTCTTATGGGTGTGTCCACAAAGCTCTATTTTGGTGTCGCCACACCAAATTACAGTGTGCCAGAAGCTGTGAGGCGGGTGAAGGTGTTGTAGGGCATATTGTAACCGGGCTTTTTTGTGGCATTAGCGCAGTAAAGGTTTCTTTCTGGCAACTCGACCATGCAGCTCATTTTTGTTTAAGTATCGTTGTATTGTGCTTCTTGAAACAACTACACCGTCTTTTTCCAGAGCAGCCTGTATTTCTCCTGAGGTTACCTGTGGGTTTTTCTTTGTACCCCGAACAATTCTTCTGGCAGTTGTGGCTGAAATCTTTCTTGGTCTACCTAACCTTGGTTTGGTATCAAGAGATCCCTGAATTTTCCACTTCTTAATAAGTAATTGAACAGTACTGACTGGAATTTTCAAGGCTTTGGTTATCTTTATATATACTTTTCCATCTAAGTTCCATTACCTTGTTACACAGGTCTTTTGACTGTTCTTTTTCCCTATTGCTCAGTATCTAGCCTGCTCAGTGCACCCATGTGAGAGGTAACAAATTCATTGACTATTTATTCACAGACACTAATTACAATGTAAAAGGTCAAAGGTGTAGGGAATTAACCTTTAATAGACATTTTAACCTGTGTGTGTCACCTTGTGTGTCTGTAATAAGGTCATATATTCAAGGGTATGTAAACTTTTGATCAGGGTCATTTGGGTGATTTCTGTAATCATTATGATTTAAAAAGGAGCCAAACAACTATGTGATAATGAATGGCTTCATATGATCACTATACTTCAATAAAATATATATTTTTTGCATGATCAGTCATATTTAGCAAAATCAATGCCAACATTTCACCATTTCTGCAAGTGTATGCAAACTTTTGAGCACAACTGTATACATATGCATAGTACATTAACCCCTTCCTGATCAAAGATGGAAATTTTCCATCATGCTTGTCTTTGTGTTAAGGAAAGTTTCCGTCATTTACTAAAGTTAACCCCAGCTCAGTATTTGAGGCAGACTGGGATCACCCGATTACGCTGTGATCGCTCTGACAGCCTGTCAGAGCGAGCACATGTGCTGCAGGGACTCTTCAGCGGTCAGGGAGACGGATCAGTGCTGATGATCTTCTCCCTGCAAAAAAATAAAATAAAGTTACAGTTAAATCCCACCCCTATTTTCCCTGTTTTATTAAAATTAACCCCTTCACTGCCATTTGATTACTGACTACAGTGATCAAAATACAGATCAGGGTATTTTCCTGTGATCTGATTTTTTTTTTTTTTTACCCCTGAAGGTTAACTTTTAAATATATTTTATTAATGAATTTAAATATTTTAAAACTATATATTTAGCTAGCTGGGGTGGGTGGAATTTAGTGGGGAATTTGGTGTTAGTCTAGCTAGGGGTTAACATTAAAAAAAGTTAAAAAAAATTTAAAAAGTTAAAAATAGTTTTAAAAAAAATGTTTTAATAAAAAGTTAAAAAACTCCCACCCTCCTTTACCCAGTCCTAATAAAAATTAACCCCTTCCCTGCCAGTTGATCACTGCCTACAGTGATCAAAATACAAATCACAGTAAAATACTGTGATCTGATTTTTTTTAACCCCTGAGGGTTAACTATTATTTATTTTAGAACACTCAGGGGTTTAATTTATTTCACTAATTAATTTAAATATTTTAAAATGATATATTTTGCTAGCTGGGGTGGGTGGGAGTTATGCGAAATTGGGGAATTCACTGTTAGTGATGCTTACTTATAGTTAGGGTTTAACGGTAAAAAAAAAAGTTTATACAAATTTTAAAAGTGTAAACAAAAAATGTAATAAGTAAAAAAGTTTAAAAACAAGTTTTTAAAAGTAAAAAGTTTAAAACAGTAAAAAAAATAAATTTAAAATGCTCATTAACACTTCACCTGGAACAAACTAGCGGAAAAATTATCCTAAACTAAGGTTCAAAATATGCCTTTTGAAATACCCCAGGGTGTATTCTTTAAGAAAATGGTATGCGTTTGTGGGGGGCGGAGTCTGACTGCTGGAGTGGACGGTCGCATGCTGCCCGAGCTCCGGGCCCAAGACCAGCAAATCAACAGAATACCAAGCCAAAACTATTGACAAATTGCTCCACTCACCTAATGGGCACTAGTAAGCAGTCCGGGGACACGGTGCATGCGGTAAACCCGCCGACGGACAGCTACTCCACGATGAGGCAACTGCGCGGCCTACGGGAGGCCGAGGCGGGGGGAGACGGCCGCTCTCCTTGCACTCCGGTTGACCGTGGAGCCCATATTTGCTCCCACCCTCCCCCCTATGGACCGGCGGGGGTCATCCCGGTCCCCCAGAAGGCACAGGCATGCTCACCCCGTCCTAGCCTGAGGGGCCCTGCAGAATCGGATTCCCACACGGAAGGAGCCAAGATGGCCGCCGGACCGAAACCCATCTCACCTCAAACCTCCAAGATGCGGGCCACCCAGAGGGACGGTATCGCCAGGGCCTTTGATGACTTCTGGGCCAAATACCAAGAACTAACTCTACAGAGCGAGGCACAGCGTGCTACCGAAGAACCGAACCACAGCAATAGATGGATTGACATGAATCTGGGCCAGGCAGACCCTAAGCAAGCCACGAGGAAACTGGAGGGAAAGTGGAAACACCACAACAGGTGGAGTGCCACCCAGGGCCTGACCCGGTCTCACCCACCAGTCCAACCGCAGCCTACCTCCAAGCGCACTTCTTACAGCACCTCAAGAAATACACTTAAGGCACAGAGGCCTCTCTCCACACATAGATCACGAGACCATCAGGCCGGTCATCATCACCGTCCACCCAAACACCCACCGAGAGACCCGGGGAAAATGCCACGATGGAACAAACATAAGCAGCAGTCTAAACCAGGATGGGGCCAAACTACAGCATGGAAAGCAGGGAGGAGAAGGCGGGAAACCCGACGCAAGCCCCTGCGGGTCAGCAACAGCCCACCAGCGGTGAGTCACCTAACTGAAAGGAGACAAATCCAAGGACTATTCACCCAAACCCCCCCTCCCCGCGCTGTGATCACAACCCCACCTGGGCAAAGACACCATGGCAGAGACCACCAGACTCCCAGGCACAGCCCAGCCCAGTACCACTACCTAAAAGTGCTGTGGCGCGATGGGGGACCTCCTCATACTCACCAAACTGCCTTAACAGAAGATACCAATCACCATAAAACCCGCTATCCCCACCAGGGACAACAAGCCCACGACATGCTCATCACAAGACAGGGGACTTATGCAACCATACCCTCTGAATACACCTCGACTGGACACTGGAAGAGCACTGACTGGGAGGACCCCCACCGCCTACTGCTCCGGGCACTAACCCGACGGCTGATGGGGATCGGTTAGACCACACAGGCTGGACATTACGTTACTTAGTACAGACGCAGCACACTAAGCTTAACACAATATGTGCACTCAATTTGTTTTTTTTTTTTTCTATACCTGAGCTTATATTATATGTGATTGTATTATAATTATTAGCGCTAGTGGAATCTTAACAATCTAGAAATCGCTAAACAAATGTCACTATACCTTTCACTCATGCATAACATGCATTAGAAATGCCTTAATCTATAGTGCTAAATGTATGATCCTTCGCTATGTCTATACTCGTATCTTACCTTTTCTGTTGAGCAGCATAGAAGAACTCCTAGATAAGCAACATTACTATATAAAAATGTGCAGTACTCTTTCATGCCTAACTAATGTACCTATATGTTAGCAAACTGCTTACCCTAGCTGTTGTGGCATTGTAAGCCTGATGTGATATATCCGTGCACAAATAAAATAAAATAAATAAATAAATAAATAAAAAAAATAGTGAGCCATGTAGAGATGGCTCCATACCTTCGAAACATAAGCATGACAAGCAACGTTTTATTATAGAGTTTTACCCCTCATGCCTAGCCAGCCTCTCTGAGCTACCAAAACAAGTTCTATAGCTTAGACATGAGGAACAAGCCTTTATCCCATGGTTATCTACTTGAAGCTTGTCGTATTTTCACCCAGTATAGCACATTTAAAATTACATTAACATAATGACTCTGCATAGGCAGACACCGCAATACATGTGTTTAGCTCAGTCATATAATTCCATGTCTTAGCCTGTTTTCCTTTTATTGTGACTACTGGGTAATGCTTCCTAGTTAGCCAAGAAAAGTTACCTTTTGTTTTTTATGAAGCCCAGGGGAAAATCCTGTTTACCTATCTGTTAAAAAATGTGTGCAGTACCTTTCTATTCCACAAGCCTGTTTTAACAATGTCACCCACTCTACTTGTTATTGCTATTGTGGCACAACAAGCGACTGTATTAACTGAATGCACCACAAAAATAAAGAAAAAAAAAAAGAAAATGGTATGCGTTTGTGAAGTAGTTTGAATAACAAACCAGCTAAACTACTCCAAAATGGAACATATACACAGCGTAAAACTTAAAAGTTAGAAAAAAACTGGCTGTGTCTCTAATGTGCCCCTTCATCATCCACATATAGCTGGCAAACGTACATACGGAGGTATTGTTGTACTCAGATGACATATTATACAACCGTAGCACACAAGATTTGCAAAATATACTGTGCAAGCTCACTTTGTGTGTCAAGAAGGCAAAAAAAAATGCTTATTACCACTACACTTGGTACAAGCAGGGACGTATTTGCTGCGAGGCAAACAAGGCTTTTGCCTTGGGCGGCGCTTTCCGGGGGAGGGGGGGGCCAAAAACACCGCCCCAAATGCCCAGGCAAATGTCTTGTTAGCCTGGCGGTGGCTAACTAACATTCCAGGCGAGCGGGAGGTACTGGCGAGGGAGCACTGATTAGTGAGCTCTCTGCGTCATATTCGGCTTCCAGCATCACTCTGCGGCGTGCGAGGGAGCCAGTGTCGCCCGCCCGCCTGGAATGTTAGTTAGCCGCACAACCGCCTGCCTTCCCTTCCTTCCACTGGACACCGGGTAAAAAAAAAATCCACCCAGCACTCCCTAAGGTAGGGAGGCTGGGTGGATTTAAATTAAAATAAAAAAAGTAATGGTTAATGTTAATGTTTGGGGAGATGGGGAGAGAGGGAAGGGGAGGGAAGGGGGATGTCAGTGTGTGTATGTCTGAGTGATTGTGTGCATCTGGCTGTCAGTGTATGTGTGAGTGATTGTGTGTGTCTAGCTGTGTGTGTCTGTCAGTGTGTATCTGAGTGATTGTGTATGTCTGTCATTGTGTCTGTCACTGTGTGGCTGTCTATCGGTGAGTGAGAGCATGTGTGTGTCAGTGAATATGTGTTTGTTTCTGAGTGATTGTGTCTGTGAGGGCGCCTGTGTGTCTGAGTGATTGTGTGTGTGTCCGTGAGTGAGTGTCTGTCAGTGGATGTGTGTGAGTGTCTGAGTGATTGTGTATGCCTGTCAGTGTGTATGTCTGCCTCATTGTGTGTGTATGTCAGTGATTGTGTGTACGTCAGTGAGTCAGTGATTGTTTGTGTCAAATCAGTGTGTGTATGTCAGTGTATCTGAAAGTGTGTCTGTCAAAGTGTGTTAGTAGTTTAACAGGAAGAGGTGTGGCATTGACAGGAAGGGGTGGTGCAAATTTAAATTAGGGGGTGCCTGAGTTCTGTCATGCCTAGGGCAGCACAGATACTAAATACATCACTGGGTACAAGCTAGCAGAAAAATGATCCCATGCCAAGGTTCAAAATATGCCTTTTGAAGTACCCTGGGATGTTTTCTTTAAGAAATGTTATGCCTTTATGGTGTAGTTAGAATATGTAGCCTGCTAAAATACTCCAAAATGGTACAAGGACACAGCGTAAAAATTCAAAGTTTGAAAAAAAAAATGGAATGACTTTGTCTCAAATGAGCCCCTTCAATATCCACATATACCTGGCAAAGGTACATACGGGGGTATTGCTGTACTCAGACGACATAGCTGAGCAACATATGAAGTATTATACTGCCGTAGCACACATACGGTTTGCAAAATATACTGTGCAAACTCACTTTGTTTGTCAAAAAGGCAGAAAAAATGCTTATTACTACTACACTTGGTACAAGCTAGTGGAAAAATGATCCCAATCCAAGGTTCAAAATATGCCTTTTGAACTACCCTGGGTTATTTAAGAAATGGTATGCCTTTATGGTGTAGTTGGAATATGTAGCCTGCTAAAGTGCTCCAAAGTGGGACAAGGACGCAACAAAACCCTCTATGAAAATTCACACTTGCACTGTAACTTCCCAAAATAGTGTCTAGGTCATACATTGGACATATTGTTTTACTCAGAAGACTTAGCTGAGCATAATTTGGGGGGTTTATGTCAGTGGCACATATCAAGTGTAAGAAATACTCAACATAAATGCCATATTTTTCCCCTCACCACAAACATTGACATAAATTGGTGAAAAAATGGTGACAAGTTAACAAACAATATTTGTTATATAAGATACCCTGGGGTATCTGCTTTATCAAATGAAAGCCCTTTGTGGGGTTATTTGAACAGTCAAACTGTTATAATACCCCAAAATGAGACATAGGCCCGTCTCCATCTATAAAAATTCTAACTATAGAAACTGAAATAGCCTTGTCTCTTATATGGCATTGTAGATTCACAGAATAGTGCCAAAGGCATACAATAGGGGTATCATTATACTCAGCGAATGTAGCTGAAAACAATATGTGGTTCTGTGCAGGAATAGCACACATCAGCTTTATGAAATACACATTACAACTAAAATGGACGCTTGTCTGGACCTGGTTTTAACAAACAACGTTGATCTTTTGACCAACATTCAAGTAGGTGAGCACTTGGGAAATAGTGATCACAATATAGTGTCCCTTGAAATAAACTAAAAAAAACATATAATTTTAAAAAGGCCAATTTCAATAAGTTAAGGGAAGCTTTACAATATATTGACTGGCATAAACTCTTTAGTGAAAAGAACACTGAGGATAAATGGATCATCTTCCAACAAATATTAGAAAGGTACATTTCTCAGTATGTACCATTGGGAAATAAATATAAAATAAACAAATTGAAACCAATGTGGCTTAGTAGAGAAGTAAAACAAGAGATTAAAAATAAGAAAAGGGCATTTAAAGCATTTAAATCGGACAAATCGGATGCATCTTATAAAAGATATAAGGAAGCAAATAATGCGTGCAAAAAGGCAATTAGACTTGCTAAACTTCAAAATGAAAAATGATAGCTAAAGAGAGCAAAATCAACCCCAAAGCATTTTTTAAGTACATAAATTCTAAAAAACACAAAAATGAAAGTCTAGGTACACTAAAAACTGAAATGTGGGTGTTAGTTAATGAAGACCAGGAAAAGGCAGGAATTATAAATAACTATTTCTCCTCCATATATATTAAGGAAGAACCCATGGCAATAGATGTGCAAATGATTGCTACTAAAAACTTGCAGAATAATTGTAATTGGTTAACTCAAGACAAGGTGCTGCAGCAACTAAAGAAAGTTAATATAAACAAAGCTCTAGGGCCTGACGGTATCCATCCACGTGTACTTAAGGAACTAAGTGTAGAAATAAGTGAACCTCTGTTTTTAATCTTTCAAGATTCTTTTCTTTCAGGAAATGTTCCGGAGGATTGGAGGAAGGCAGATGTGGTTCCTATATTCAAAAAGGGTTCAAAATCCTTGCTTGGAAATTATAGACCTGTGAGCTTAACTTCTGTGGCTGGTAAAATATTTGAAAGGTTATTAAGGGATAATATTCAAGAATTCCTTGAGAAGAACATGGTTATCAGCAAAAATCAGCACGGTTTTATGAAGCACAGGTCATGTCCAACTAACTTGATTGTGACGAAGAAGTAAGTAGAAGTATAGATCAGGGTGCTGCCATGGATATGATCTATTTGGATTTTGCCAAGGCATTTGATACAGTTCCACACAATAGATTAGTGTTCAAACTCAAGGAAATCGGTCTAGATGAAAATGCTTGTTCTTGGGTAGAACATTAGCTTAAAAACAGAGTACAAAGAGTTATCATTAATGGTAAATTTTCAAGCTGGACAGAGGTGGCAAGTGATGTCCCTCAGGGGTCTGTTCTGGGACCCCTTCTATTTAACATGTTTTTAAATGATCTTGAAGACAGCATTGAAAGTCATGTTTCAGTGTTTGCAGATGACACAAAACTTTGTAAAATAATACAATATGAGCAAGATATTACTTTGCTGCAGAGGGATTTAGATAGACTGGGGGACTGGGCACTCAAATGGCAGATGAAATTTAATGTTGAAAAATGCAAAGTTATGCACTTCGGCGTAAAGAATACACAAGCAACGTATACCCTTAATGGAAGCGAATTAGGGATAACAACACATGAAAAGGACTTGGGAATTGTTATAGACA